ATGTGCATACCTGCTTTGAAGATAATACTTAAGCCACAGTTTGCTCATCTGGGAGCAGAGAAGAAGAGAGAGAAGAAAAAGGAAACTGAAACTTTTAAACCAAAACTTCACATGGTTTCCACCTCTGTGAGTTAATTTGCATTACTGTTGATTTTACACAGTGTATGCCTCAGACCCTTTATGGAGGAGGGAACTCCACCAAGTCCCAGTAATCTCTTAATTTAGATAATACAATAATGAGTGTGATGCAAACACCAGCAAAAGGCTGACTGGTATGGATTTATTAGTTCTCATGTCCTGGACTTCACCAGCTCAGTCCATTAAAAGAAGCAGCACACATCTGTTACTTCTGTTCATTATATATTTCCCAGTATATTTATTATACAGAACGACAGAATTGCAGGATTTGGAAGAGACCTTTGGAGATTGTCAAGTCCAGCCCCCTTGCTAAAGTAGGTACCTTACAGTAGGTAGCACAGGAAGGCGTCCAACAAGTCTTGATGTCTCCATAGAAGGAGACTCCACAGCCTCTCTGGGCAGCCTGTTCCAGTGCACTGTCACCCTTACCATAAAGAAGTTCTTCCATATATTTGTGTGGAACTTCGTATGTTACAGTTTTTGGCCATTGCTCCTTATCCTGCCACTACACACCACTGAAAAGAGTCTGGCCTCATCCAGTTGCCTCCTGCACTTTAGATATTTATAACACTGATCAGACCCCTTCTCAGTCTTCCATTCTCTAGTCACAACAGTCGCAGGTCTCTCAGCCTGTCCTCATACAGGAGATGCTCCAGGACGTTCATCATCTTTGTCACCCTCCTCTGTATTCCTTCTAGGAGATCCCCGTTGTTTGTTTTTTTTTTTTTTAACAGAGAAGCCCAGAATTGAACACAGGACTTCAGATGTGGCCTCAGTGAGGCAGAGCAGGGGGGGAGGATCACTGCCCTCGACCTGCTGGCTGTGCTCTTTTTAATACACCCCACGATCCCACTGCCCTTGTTGGCCACTAGGGCACACTGCTGGCTCATGGCCAACCTGTTGTCCACCAGGACACCCAAGTCCTTCTCTGCAGAACTCCTCTCCAGCAGGTCATTCCCTAACCTGTACTGATATATGTGCTTATTTCTCCCAGATGAAGGACTCTACACTTGCTTTTGTTGAACCTCATTGGGTTCCCCCCTACCCAGCTCTCCAGTCTTTCCAGGTCTTGTTGAATGTCACACAGCCTTCAGCTGTCAAACATTTCCTCCCAGCTTTGTATTGTCTTGCTGAGGATGGACTCTATCCCGTTATCCATGCCACTGATGTTGAACCAGACCCAGCACCAGCCCCTGGGGAACACCACTAGTTACAGGCCTCCAACCAGACTCTCTGCCACTGATCACAGCAATCTGAGCTCTGCCAGTCAGGCAATTCTCAACCCACCTCACCATCCGCCATCGTAACGAGCAGAATGTAAACAAGCCTTAATTCTCCATCCATTTTAGTCTTCTTTCAAACCTAGTGTAAAAATGATAATGGAGAGCATATTTGCTGTATAGAATCAAATTCAAGTTTCTGTTGCCATTGTTTTCCAAGGAGAGCTGGTTGGGAGCAGACAGCATGGTTACGTGGCTACTGTAGTTAGTGTTTAATCTGTGGTCTGCTTATTCTTTGTTTCGTTAGAGACACATAATGTAAATCAAGGCAAATTTCATATTGTCCTAGGGTGTTTTTTCTCTCCCTTCTTAGAATGCTAGTTAGGGAAGGCTGACACAAAGATAAGTAATCAAGTCTAAGACATGATATTGCAACATTTCCTGTTGTAATGATCACTCAGAAGAATCTCTGAACAAACCAAACATGAATGCAATTTGCAGGTACTGTTCATTGTACTCACTGCCTGAAAATATGGAGGTATGACGCACTCCCAGTGGGTCTGATTCTCCAATGAAATCTGAATTTCAGGCTGTTACTCACACGAGTTTTTGTTGTTCGTTTTTTAAATGTTCAAAACATTTAGATATTCTGTGAAACTAGAGATTGTCTAACTGATATTTGTTTTAAACAGACAAATTTATTTTTGCTTCAGTGAATTTTCCATGAGTTTCTTCTGCCGTACGCCTTTTTATAAGCACCTGTCTATTCATTGCTTCTGACTTATTTATCCTAAGTAGTTTTATCCTGTTTGTGGTGATATATGCTTATTTGCCACACTATAATGTTTCTGCTGCCTGAATGCATCACTAGAAGAGTTTATATAAAGTTACGATATTTTCTTTCTAAATTAGCTAAAAAATTCTGTTTTCAATTTTGGAATAATTATTTTTGTTAAAATCTGATGGATGAAGCTAAATTTATGTGATCTTTAAATTATGATAATCTATCTTTTCATGTATATCCAGTACTGTAAGTGCAGGAGTGCTAAACTGAACTGAAGCACTGTTGTCCAAAAAAATTTTGTAAGTGGATGGATTTGGGTTTAGTTTCACCTTCTGGGGTTTTTTTTCTTTAGTGCTTGAAAATTGTAAGAACACTCCCCTTTTTATGCTGATAAATGACATTTTCTACTGAAGAACCCTTCAAAACAAATGCTGTGGCTGTCTTCTAGGTTCACTTAAAGCTTCTCTGGTAGTTCAAGCAGACAAAAACAGTATGTTTCTAAACAACTCATACATATGAGAATAGAAATAAAAACATTTTTAGGCTAGAAATAAAAACATTTTTAGGCTGTGCAAATAGTAGTTGACTACAAAAATTACCTCTGCAATGGATCAGAAATTTCCATTTCTGGAGCCTAAATTCTTAGAAAACAAACTAAGCAAACAAACATAAAATAACAACAAATAACAATTGATGCATAGATCTCAGATATTCAGATCTTTAATATCACATCCTGTAGTGCTAGGGGATGTCTGGTGAATGTTGTTTCCTAGCCCCTTTCCCCAACTCTATTGCATGTTTTCTTTTTTGGAGAGGGCAATAATACTGTCACTTTTGGCTGCCGTGTCCCTGGTGCTGGGGCTAACACTTTGGCTGGTCTGTTCAGGAACTGCTCTGTGCAATCGAGAGACAAATCAAAGGTTTTTCTCTTGTTCATATGGGAAAAGCCCTAAGCTTCTTCACTCAACTGCTTGCCAGCTAGTTATGGGATCTCATGAAGTGGTGCTGGCAACAGGGAGGAGAGGCAGTTTAGTTTTTGTTTTCATGCTGTCACTTTCTGGAATTGCACAAAGCAGTCGTTACAGTAGGAATGCATTTGATGTGGAGGACACCCATGCTGTACTCGCAAAAATCTAGGAGGGGAGAAAAACATGACCTAGAAGCCATAATGCTAGTCAGGATAGCCATTAGCAAAGCCTTTGAAGATAGGAACTAAGGGATAGGGAGTCTAAGTCTTTGATTGCAACTCTTTGTAGGGAGGACCTGAAGGCAGTAATAATATTGTAGTACAGATTCACAGGCTTGGAATGTCACGACTTTAACAACCCAAATAATCCCCTTTTCTTGCATTCCCAATTGAAGATATGATTTATTGAGGAACTGTAACATGTCTGCTGCCCTTTCCCTCTGTTTTCAGCATATAACAGTGAGCTAATCAATTCTATTAAATGCATACTAATTTAACTCACTCTTCTTATTATTCATTTAAATAGCTGCTCTGGTGAGAATGTTGGAAAGCTGACCTAATATGGCAACTAAGGGTTTGTCTATACTATGTAGTTTTAAATTAACTTTTCAAGAACAGCTTTTATCAGAGCCAGTTGTGTTGTAGCAGCAGTGACCATCTCTGTTTAAATCAGAGCAAGGCTGCAAGTGACTCCAAGTGAGGTGTGAGTACTTGCATTGTTGGCACTGGGAATATCTGGACTGTATCATTTCTCTGCCGTAGTCCTTCTGGTAACCTAAGGTTCGAGTCGTTTGACCTTCCGTGCCTCTTGTCACCATAAGTAAAAATGGGAATAATAACACTTCATTACCCTAACCCTAAAATACCTGGAGGTATTTTGTTATTACAAGACTGGGAAAGGAGTCATGTAATTACATGGGTAGAAGAATGCATTTGTAGAAAGACCAGATACTTAGGCATACATGCAAATAGGAGATTAAAAGCTTCTCTTCATTCTCCCTCCAATGTAATTTTCTTCAGATCGGAATACTGCACTTTGTACTTTTACAGGGATAAAGCTGAATTATCAGAACAAACTCTAAGCTCCCCTAAAATATCAAAGCCTAGGTCATTATCTTAATGTCTAAGCTAAGCTCGGCTAAGCATGGCAGACCCTGGGCTTAAATTGCCAGAGATTCATCCTCATTGCACATGGCCAGAAACCCAGAGTAATTTATTTGGTGGAGTTGCATCCTTGTAAAACACATGCAGATGAAAACAGAACAGCAGCTTCGTGTTTCTGCTGTTACATGAACATCTAGCTTCACAGACGTGTTTTTAATACAAATGACCACTCAAGCCCATGAACTGTGCATATTTTTGATGAGTGCTAGTTATTTAGCTCATTCTCATTCCTCTTCTGTGTTCTGCAGAATAAAGTATAATTCTGTCCTCACAGGAATAACAAGATTTACTCCACACTAAACCTCATAATTTCTGTGTGGCGTTGCCTTCAGATTCACTGGAAACCCACTCGTCCAGATACAACTGTACCTTCTTCTGATACTTAGTTAATTAGAGACTCTAAGTTGAAGGAAGAATATTTTTGTTTTCAACACAGGAATTTGTTTTTAAAGTTGGCCAGGGTTAGTCTGGGGTGTTTTTTAAGTGTTTTGCACCGCTGCTTTTCCCACTGCTTTCATTCCTTCATATTGCTTCTGTACCATAAGCCGTTGCCTGTAGTTCTCAGCAAAGTATTGCTGAAGTAGAACAATTGCACATTTAGAATATCACAATATGTTTTTTTTCCTTATGCGTGTATAGACTTTACAGTAAGGTTTGAGGAGGCAAAGCAGATTGATCTACCTAGGGCACGAGGTCCAAGCACCGACTGTTCTGTTTCTTTCGCTAGATGTCTCTGCGCCAGAGGCTGGAAGGAAGTCAGAGGATGGCTCTGTAGCAAATGGCAGCCTGGCATCACGGGGGAAGCAGAACGGGGCCACGCAAGTGACAGTGCAGCGGAAGAGACTCCTGAAGGCTCCCACATTGGCTGAACTTGACAGCTCAGATTCGGAGGTAAAATATCGGGGTTGACCTTGATTCTTGCTTGTCAGAACTTAGTGCTATTCCTTCATTGGCTGAACCAATCAGCTAAGTGTCTATGTAGACTGCAATGCGAATTTTATGTGGCTGCTTCAGAAATAACAAGATCAGGTCTCAGAAATCAGAACATTCTTTAAAAAGTTAAATGATAGTTTTGTCCTTAGTCCTAGTATTCACTCTTTTTTTATTTAATGCCCAGTATCTGTCCATAGTGTATGTGTAGCAGTTATGCTTTTGGGAATGTAGACAATTGTTTTTCACCCTTCTGGCACCCTTGCAAGAGCTGTCATTAAAGGCCTCAGATGTGAGCCCAGCCCTACCATACCAGCTGTTAAATAAGGAGAATCAGCTCTGCCAGAAAGGTTGCAGTTCAGTGCAAATTCAGTGGGTTAGGCTGTTACATAGGCTTAGGAAGTAACACCCGGCAAATGTTTGCAGATAGAGATGAGCAGACACTGCTTAGGTGGAGAAGCAACTTTGAATCCATTCTCTCTCAAATGGAGAATTAATGATTTTTAGAAAGCATTGAAAGAAGAAAGGAATAAAAAATCTCTCCAGTTTAAAAGCCACATTGACTATAGCCTTTGAAGAGCACCAGTATTACATTGTCAGGAATGAATTTTGTCTTTTGGCCCAGTAATATTACTGAGATTGAACTTTTCTGAAAGTCAAGCTGTCAGGAAAGTCAGGGTTTATTTAGAGAGGCTAATTTTAACCAGGGGAAGGCAGTCTTCCCTGGCTCTTTCTCTGTATTAAATAGGGAGGGTGGGGTTTCCTGACAAGCACTTACAAAGGTATCTAAGCTGAGAGATAGGAGGCTGGGGAGAAATAAAATTGGAGATAAATGTATCTTTTTGTGTACTTTCCTTATCCCTGTGAAGTTGACCCTCTTTGTGTTGTGGGTTATCCTATGGGAGACTTGTATGTGTGCATAATTTGGTGCATCCATACTGAAAGCAGAAGAAATTAGCATTCTGAAATCTCTCAGCAGTGTTTAAAATTACAATAGAGGCTATGTGAGGTTTTGTTAATTTTAACAAAGCTGGGCAGGACACAGGAATATTGAGACTTGTTAATGAAAGAATTGGATTTTGAACTCTAATCTTTTCAGCTTTTAGGTCAGTGCATCCTGAAGCTAATGCAGGATGATATCTCACACAGAAAAATGAGCAGAAATTAGCGAAAGAAAATTCTGTACAGGGAAACATTAAGCAATTATTATGGGAAGGAAAAATTCAATGTATGAGTATTGATTAGGAATACCATGCAGGCAAGCAAAGTCATACAGAAAAAAAGCGTTGGGGCGTAGAGGAGAAGATAAAATGAAGAATAAATCAGTCACATCAAATTGTCACAGAGAACAGATGTTGTATTGGTTTGAGTCAAAAAAAAGTAGCTGGTGAAGCAATTAAGAATATTAAAATGCCAAGCAGAGTACTGGTAGGGTTTCAGGAACAGTGCTAAAGTGGTGTAAACAAACGTAATGGAAGGAGTTTGGATGAAATTTAACAAGCTGGCAAAGGCATGTGGGACATAGAAGATTTGAAGAAAGTGAAGTGTGCTCTGCCAGTATATCTTAATTGCTGAATTTTATTTCTGTGTAACAAACTGAAGTGTATATGTTGTCCTGTTTGGCTATAAGCATCTCAGGCACCTCTTTGCCTTCAGTTTGAATTGAGCTTAACCTATTTAGAGTTACTCACTGGGAGTTAAATTATGACTGTGTTATGTCCTAAATTACAGGCTGCAAATATCTGCACTGCTGAGCTACGGAGCTCCAAATAGGCTGTGATGCAAATGCATTTTTGTCCCCTGAATCCCCTTTGTTCTTTTCTCAGCTATGTTGTGATGCTGTCTACAGCCCAGCACTCAGTATTGCCAGCCAGAGGTGAAAGAAATGGTCTGATATTGCCCTATACCCATTTGCTGGCAAGGATGAATATCGTACAAATCCTACTATCTGTCCTTGTTTTTCTCTGTGTTGCTAATAGAATCATGGATTCAGATGGGGAGGAGGAAGAGCCATTTTGTCTTCATAATTTTGTCCGGCAACCTGGACAAAAATCATGTCAGTAGTGTAATCAGATGGTTTACAGTGATGCCTTTAAAGCTGCAGCTTTCTCAGGACGTTTAATATTACACATAAATTGTATATATAATGTTTAAGTAATATTATAATATTATAAATTTAATGTTACAGTTATTCAGCTCTTAGTGAAAAAGTGCACAATTCCAGATGTTTGGTTTGTCCAATCTCAGACATGAAAAGTCATATTGTCAGCCATAATAGTTAATAGTTGCTGTACTGATACAAAAAAGTTTGAGTACTCATAGGTCAGTAACAGCATTTTCAGTGCCTGAGTTTGTGAACAGAAGTAATTTGAAATTATAAACTTGGAATACCTATTGTCTAAGTAGGATAACATGTCAACATGTACTCCTGGCTTCCATTCTCCCTGGATTGATGGTTTATACTTAGCCATTGGCTCCAGACAGTTCATTCCCTATCATTCTTTAATATAAGAAGTTTAGCTTCTGGGATCTTTCTTGTAAGTCTTTACCATAGAGAAGCCATTTATTGCCCTGTTTTTGTCTATTTCTGTCCCTCTCATTTTGAGGCTCCTAGGCCATCAAAATAGCCCCCAGAAAAACTCAGATAGATACAGCACAAATTAGTGAGGACAGACATTACTAATGATGTCGCTAGAGTTTTTTCACAAAAGTGGGGAAAAGATGGAGACATCCATGTGCTGCATAGCTTCGCAACATCTAAGATATCATATCCAGCTTGATTTCGGCAGTGATGTGACGAATAGTTATTTTTTAGCTATTTCTTTCAGTTGGAATATGACCATTAGCAAGAGGTACCATAATCACTATTTTACAGTTTTATATGCAGTATATTTAGGCTTTTGACTTTTTCAGTTGTTCACCTTATTTTGTCTCTTATCTCCACACCGGTGTTTCAGGCACAGGAGAAATGCAAGAAAAATGAGAATCAGAAAAGCATGTAAATAAGCTCTGTGCACAAACTTGCTTGAATCATGATTCAGTCTTCTATAAAACTTACCATGTAGGACAATAAAAAAATAGAACACTTGAAATTTTTGGTCAGGACCAGGTAGGATCCCACAGAACAAGAAACTTCAGGAGCAACGCGGGCTTGGATTGTGCTCCACAGAGAACTGCTCTGCTCCTCTACAAGCTCCCCTCTGCCCCTCACTGAAGTTCTGGCTGCTCTTCATTCACAGAAATGAGCAGCAGAACAGCATGGTTGTGTTTTTTAATTGGTGGCTTGCTTAGTTCTTCATCCTAGCCTTCTAGCTCCTCTGGCAACGAAAAAGTAATCTTTTACATAGATGAGTTTGACTTCTACAGATTGAATAGTTTAATGGTTTACTTTTTACAGGAGTTAACAGAATTTAAACATTGAACTCCAGACTTGTGAGCGCTGTTGTACCACTTCTAGAGAGCAATGCATTCAGTTATCTTGTGAGTTCTGCAGTGGTCTTTTAGGGCAACCATGTGGTGTGAAGCAGTGAACTGCAAAGATATCTGAGTGAGCTCTGTAGCTGAACTATATTGGTTTGTGGATGCAAAACAGCTGGTGCAGTTAAATATGCTGTTTAGACTTCCCTACAATTTTCCCATCTCAAATGTCTGGAAGAGACATATTGGATATATTAAAGTGAGTACATTGTTTTGGGGTCTGACCTGGTTGGAGATTTTTGCAGAAGACTGTCTTGAGGCATATACAGTGTTACAGCAAACATCACATCACAGTTTCTTTACATACATTGCATACATGTCCTAGGGCTAAGCAGAAAGTACAATCACCTGATGGCAATTTGTTAAGGCCTCTGTCCTGTGATGCATGGTGTTCATTGAGGTGACCCTGCCAGCTTTTCTTTTCTGACTTGCTGTTACCAAAGGCAGCATTCTTTCAGTTAGTGGGGATTTTCCTGCTTGCAGTTCAATAATGAGAGAAATCTGCGTGAGAAAGAGAGGCTCAGCTACTTGCTGGATTTTTGAGCTGGCCACCTCTTGTAAATCTTGACAATTTAAGTGATTGTGAAACTCCTAGGTTAAAAGCATTCACATTGGAGCTAAACAGCATTCACAATCAGTCCTACAACTCTGTTCCTTGGGGAGGCTCTTGTGATTCATGTATCCTACTGGTATCTGGTGGCTGAAGACAGAGGTTTGGGATGGAATGATTTGGTGATTTGGGTGTCATAATGCCTTGGATACCTGACAGGTGTTAGTCAAAGCCTGGTTCACCTTGGGCTTGACTTTGGCTTCTGTGATGAAACACAAAATGAAGATTCCTTTTAAATACATAAGAAAGGAGAAAAATACACTGGGATTAGTAATTACAGAACAGTGCCATGGAAGTCAGCTTAATTTCTCTTTTCTTTAGTGGGTGATATGAGTACCTGGTATTCCTTTGGAAACTGGAGAAATCCAAGGACTGATTTCTTGCTAGTGTGAGACATAAAATTGACTTACTGCATTTCCTGTAGTTAAAAATCCTTCAAAGATCTTGAGTACAATTACTGGTGGAAAAGTAAATAGAAAAGCAAAACAGTAGATTTGTTTTGCTCCTGTTCTTTAATGTGGTGGTTAAATGCACTGAATTCCAACCATGTACCATTTATATTCCAGTTTTTGCAAAAGTTGAGCTTAGAAAATTACATAGCTCTGTGTAGCGTGAACATTTTTTCTCAGGACTTCTTCTAGGGCTTTGTGTGATTTAAAGTGATAACATGCCTTTGATAGCTTGTGATTTCTACGTGCTAACAAGCAGTAAGAGAAGAAAAAATAATTTCTGATGAATTCTATTTCTTCTCATCTTCCCACACAGGAGGAATCAGTGCACAAATCAACAAGTAGCAGCAGCATCTCCCCCTCACAAGTGGAAGACCCCTCGCAGGAAGGTACCAGCAGAAAGAGTGAGTTTTAGAGTGCCTGCTTTCACTTAGTTCTGTTGCCTTCTGTTATTGAACTTTGACACTCTTACAGAAAGCCGAAGCTGAGTGTAAATTGAATAAATCTGAACCTTGGAACATGCTGAATAGGACAAACGTAGTAATTAGTGAGTGGAAGGCCTATACTATATGTGGACATTTTTGTGAAACAGAAAAGTCATATTTGAAACTGTCAGGGAATTGTAAAGGAAGTCAGAAGTGCATATTTCAGCTATGTTCATCTCAGAAGGGCTTGTTGCTGCAGAAACACATTCTAAACCAATGTAAAAGCCAATTTAAATATTTTCAGCACCTCTGACATCGATGAATGTACTTGTTTGAAAGACACCTAGTAATCACCAATATGTCTCATAAGCAAAGTACTTACTGTCAAGAGGGGAAAATCCGATCTTTTTGTTTCAGGCAGTTATGGTAGGCTTTACTGTACAACAGGATTTCCAGTTTCACTGGAAAGCTTTTGTAATTAAATATGTAATCTGTGCACAGTGGTGAAATAATTTGTATAGCCAGTATTTTGGCACTCTGAATTTTTATTCAGTGATAAATGGATAGTAGCATGCCTGTATTTGCTGGTCTTACAAGTATTCCTGTTCTTTCAGTCTTGAAAATGTAATCAGTATGATACTTGTATTGAAGAGTGTGGAAGTGTAATTTGAGCCCCCAGCAGTAGGAATTCTAGGAAATCAATGACTGTTTCAGGTACTGAGCAATGTTATCCAACACTCTGTTTTACGAGAACTAATTCTTTTATGCTGGTTGAATCTTTAGCACCTCCAAAGTTCTTGCCCATATCATCTACACCACAGCCAGAGAGACGGCAGCCACCTCAGAGACGACACTCCATTGAAAAGGAAACTCCAACCAATGTCAGACAGTTTCTACCACCTTCAAAACAGAGCTCCAGATCACTTGTAAGTGGAGTGGGTGGTAGGAGAGAGAAAAAGAGGCATGCTAAGAGTATAATGAAAATTAAAACTTGGCTTCAGTGTGATTAGAACTTGACTCAAAGAAAACTCCTGAATTCAGAAACAGCCCTGGGCTACTAAAGACGTTTTGAAATCAAGATTTGAACTTTCTGATTAACCCAGAATCCCAGGTACAGATGCCTCGGAAAATATGTGCACTTTGATTAGGACTCTGGATAAAGCCATGTGCCTTGCTTTTATTTCAGAATGTTACCAAAACAGGCAAACTTTGCCTTACTGATTTTCCATTTGAATAGAGACAATTCCAAAGCTCTGGATTTTTTTAAATGCTTTTTTTATTATTTAGTTTTTGGCAGCATTTTAGTTAATGGCTGAATGAATGAAAGGGCTTCTCCTTCTACTGTAAGAATTTGTGTGGTTAATGTTTATACATGCAAAAGCTCTTTCAGTAATCCAAATCAAGGTTTGTTTATGTTGCTTTGTTGAAGTCACTGAGGCAAAAAACTGTATTACTACTTGAAAAGAAAGTACAGTACATTTGATCAATTAGCTTTAATTGAGAGCTGTTTTCCAACAGAGTATAAGAGTAACGGGTATGAAATCTTGGCTCTTTTATGCTGACCTACTGATTAGTGCTTTGTAATTTCATGCAGGATATGTTCCTCGTCTCTTTTTCCTTCCAGCAGGGTTTTGAAGTACACCCCATAAGGTGCTGGTGAATAGAGAAATCAATAAACACATCTTAGTTCTGAAAGGAAGGGAAAATTCACTCGCCCTGTATTGTAGAGCAGTGGTATTAGTGGGCTTTGAAGAGTGTTCTTGTTGTTCACCCAGGCAGTGGTGGCCAGGATCTGAATCCATTAGTTGATGATAAACTAGCAAGAAAATAATCTCTAGATATTCTCACAACATGCTTCCTCCATTTCAGAGGGTCTGCTGGATTTTGTTTATTATATCTTTCCACAAGAACGTGGTTTCTCATTCTTGGTGAAGGTGATGTAGTAGCATGTTGATAAACACAGCACAGGTAGACTTCTGCTGAAATGAGCCTGGAGCATAACACATTGCACCAGAATCAGATGGAGGGTTCCTTCGGTACGTGTTTGAAGATGCTCTCATATAAAATGGATCGTGAGTGCCTGCTGGATGCACTCAAGGTATGGGCAAGTACAGGACTTATTTTCTGATAGGTCCATAGTCGTTCCCATACACACTGTTGAAAGGGAGGAGGGGAGAAGGCATTGCATGTTATACTGAGGCATTTGCTCCATCGCTTTTTTAATCCATAGAATTATATTGCATCGTTATAATATTGATCTCATCTCATGTATTTGAAGGGATCATACAACTGAAAAATCTTAGTTATGAGGCTTTTATTTTGAACAGGGGAAACAAGTTCTCAACCTTTTTGGCCACATATGCATTTTCATATAGATGCCTGTTTCTAGGCATATGCTCACTGACATATGCCTAGAAAAATAATATATGAAATAAAACTGCTGCCGAAAAATTAATTATTCAATTCCTGCTAAAAGTATTAAAGAAAAAGGGAGAAAAGACAGTAGGTATATTAGGGAAGTGCGGGAACACATGAGAAAGATTTTATTAATTTCTTTTCTTTTGGACTTTTTGATTTCTGGATAGCTGTCACCTAGTTGGTTTTGGCTATGGAGTGAGAGAGAAGGAAAATCAGCAGTGAAATGACGTTCCTTTAATAAGAACCTGTCCTGTTTGATGCCTGGAGAGTAAATTCACTGACTTGGCAATAGTGCCCTCTAGGGTGTGACAGACAACACCCATAGTCCTTCTGGTTTTAGTTTGATAGGTTTGTGACATGATGGCACTGTCCCTGTTACACTTGCTGGCTTCCTGCAAAGCTCTTCCTTCCCTGCAGGATGCCAGCTTGTGTCAGTGGCCATGCCAGGTGCTGTACGTGTAACCGTGCTGTTCCCTCACTGAACACTTCGCAATACCTGAAGAATATGATTTTTTTTTTTTAATTTGACTTCACGCTTCTTCATCCCTTCCTCCAGGATTGATGGAGTTTCATTTCTTATCACCCGCTCCGGTGGCCGCAGTTTCTCTTCAAGGTGGAAGAGGCCTCATCAATAAATAGCTCTCCATGCCAGAGCAAACAGACAGGAGTTTGCTGCAGTCTCTTAGCAGGATTAGCAAGAAACTGGTCTGTCTTGCATACTAACTATGGTTTTGTGAACTGGCATCTCATCAGACAGAGGGAGTTATTGCTGAGCAGGTGGGGAAGGGAAACAAACTTGGTAAAAGACCGACAGTCGTCCTTTTGATGTGTCGTCTTGCCAGTGCTCCCTGGAAGGCAGGTTTCTGTGGGACCAGCCTGGTGGTGTGTGTACTGCAGTGAGCTAACTTGGTGCCTAATCAGAGATGAAGCTGTGTCCTGATATGTACATATGAATGCCTTTGTAGATTGTTTGCTTTTTTTTCTTTTCTTTTTTTTTATCAACATCATCATTATTTTTCATGACCTAGAGGACCAAAGCTAATGATTTCATTTATACACAGCATTCGCTTTTCTGCTTCCTATCTATTGTTCAGGTTCCTAGGATAAGGAGTTTATTTCCAAGGATGACTTTCAGACCACTTTTTTCAACTATGCAAACAGCTTCTCTGCTCAGCTCTCATCCCATTGAAGCAGCCATGTGTGGGGTGGCAGGGGCTATGTACTATCTGTGTGAGAGAGCTTTTGCCAGCAGGTGGAAACCCGCAAAGGTTTGCCTCTTTTTGCTGGCTTTGGAAATCACCTTCACCAGCATGTTCCCTCTTTGGGGAGCACTTCCTAAGCTGTGGCAAGAATTAAAGCTTAGGCTGGGACACGGCACCTGATTGACATTGATTTCAGTGTGTGTAGAATATTTGTGTGTCTTCAATCACTTCACGGGGAAAAGAAATCAGTTCTGAAAGGACAGCAAACTAAAAATGCAACATCACAAGATTGTCAGTGGGACAGACTTTAAACTTTACAGCACATGAAGATCCAGCAGAAAAAAAAATTAAAAAAAAAAACAAAAAACAACAGCAAAACTATTGTAATGCTTGGACTATGTTGAAAAGAGTGAGCCTTTGTGTTTCTAGCGAGAAACATTCAACACCCTGTAGAATGGAATGACATTTGCAATCTGTTTCACTTGAAAACATGCAAATGGTTTTGGTCCTCCACACAGTTTTGTATCAGAACTTAGAGAATAATTCCTAACTATTCCTAGGGAGGCAAGCCCACTAACAAGAAAAAATGATTTATTTCCCCCTATGTAGAATCAAACAATAATTGATTTTTTCTTTTGCTTGTCCCAACTAATAAGTGAGAGTGCAGTCTTCTGCAGGAGAGCTGAGACTCCCAGATGAACTTTCAGTCTGCAAAATCAATGAGACCTTAGAGTGCTTGACTAACCATGAAGTGCAGAATTTAGAGTCCAATCTGGCACATGTTCCTATTGCAATTTACTGGTGTAACTCATTTGACTGCCTGGTGACATCTTTTAATGAGAATTTTTACAAGGAATATTGTAAAAAAGATAGTCATAAGACTGATCAGGTGCATTATGCTGAGAATGACCTACAAAGCACTTTATTTCACATTATGAATATATAATCCTTACTACCTGCTTTTCCTGAGTAGAAGAAGTTAAGTTACACATACACACCTTAAGTTGTTACAGTATATAAAATGACTGCACAGTCAAAGCTTTAAGCCAATTTTCATGAGGATCATGGAAACTTGAAATTTAAATTAGTATTTTTAAATGAGATTATTTCCTTTAAAAATAAGAATACCGACTCAACTTGAATGTTAAAATGAGTATTGACTACAATTCCAGAAAATCAAGGCCATTCAAATCACATTTTGTCTTTAGTATGTTCTGTCATATGCAGGTTGCGCAGAGAACTGTAGTTATCTCATTTTCAGCTGCCTGACTTGAGCAGATCATTGCTCAAGTTTGAGTAATAACCCCAAAGCATCACTGTTTAATGAAGTTTAGTCAGTGCTTAGTGTAATTTTAATTAATTTAAGTGCCTTACAGCTAGTGTCGAAACAAAAGATTTTCTTGTGTACTTATTTCTATGCCAAAAAGGGAAAAAAAATTCAAGCAGTTTTCTGAAATCAGCATAATATTTATCTTTCATTTAATGTTGCATTAACATTTTGTTGTCCTTGTGTAACCTCTGGAATTAAAACATTAGCATTTAAACATGTGAACATTTTTTTCTATGTTTCCCCTGTTGCCTGCAACTATTTCTACGTGCTGTAGCAGTAATCATTTTTGATTGGTACAGCAGACCCACACTATTCCCCCGGTAGCTGCTCTGCACCTATAGTAGATCTACAGACTGTCTTCAAAGGAGCAATACTCACTGACATCATCGTCCTATAAATTAATGGAGCGGGCGCACATGAGGGGGAAGGAAGTGCCTCCAAGTAAGAACTGTGTTTCTAAAGGACCTAAAGCTCTGATTGATGAAAAGCATTCAGCTTGCCTCATTCACCCCAGTCAGTTTCTCAGTCTCCCACGATGCAGAACTGAGGTTTTCTGCTGGCATTGTGTGCATCACGCTTTCCCACCCACTTCCTCTCCCATCTCACCCGGCCCACCGCCGTGCTTCCCTGTAGCGAGGCAGTTGCTATGGGAAGGACCAGAATGAAGTGCCAGTGGCAGCCAGTTAGCTGTGAAGTCTCATAATGAACAGAAGGCATTTTGTTTGGCTGTGCTGTGTTACACCTCAGAGCAAATTGCAGTTGTTTTTGACATAGTTTGTTCTTTCCAGAAAACTAGCACCCATACACCCCAAAGGTTTAGCTGGCAAATCTAACAAAGTTAACTCAATTCTAGTCTTTTGTGGGGTGCCTTAAACAGAGCGAAGTTTCTTTGTGTTCCCTTTCTAGATAGGTAAGACAACAATTTTTAAAAATGTGGTGGTTCCTAAATGCTAATGTTTGCCAGGTCTGCAACGTAGAAAGATTTTCTTTTTTATCTAATGGAAAGACAGAACCAAACTCTGGGTCCATGTAAGTTGAATATTTCACAATTAATCTGAACCATCTCTTCAGTGTATAAATTAGACCTCCAAACTGTCGGCCGTGTCTTTGTGTTTGCAGGAAAAATTTCCTTCCATTATTCAAAGAGCATTGGATGTCATTGTCATTACCACACAGCAGCCCCTGTGAGCTCGCTGAAAGGGTTCACTAAGCATAAGGCGATGGGAATTCCCACAGAGGTTTCTGTCTTTCTGTTAGAGCTGTATAATCAACTACAGGGCTGGATTACAAATTGGGTTGGTGCTTTTATTCTTTGGTACCAAATTCAGGAGTTCTCTACTCAATATTCTCCATCACGATGTAATACAGAACGTACAGAAACTGTGTCGGTGGGAAGTTGTTGGGTCATTCTCTTTTTCATTCTTTGCCATTCATAACCCAACACTGGGTAGCCAGTTCTCTATTTGAAGGTTACCCTGTAAAGCTTAAATTGCCGCTGTTGCTTTCTGGTGGCAGAAAGGAGAGCCTGTCTGTCTGGATTGCTTTAGCTTTTTGTTGTTAGATCACATGAACGCCAAGATGTGGTACCACTGAATAAAAAATTCTGCTAGAATGGGCTACTACTGACTTTCCTCGGCCATTCTGGGCACCACAAAGTGTCAAAGAAATCATGTGTTCTTAAGAATACTTAAAAGTAAAACCATGCGCCAAATTACCTTTCTGCTTTCTAATTATAAACCTGAATGTCAATTAAAATCAGTATTTGTAGTGAAAGACAAATGGAGAGAAGATCCAAATGGCTTGAGGAGGGAGAATGAACAAAGCGCATTGTGGAGGCTGAACATCGGACCACTGAGATTGCACTGTCATGGTTTCAGATGATTTGAAACTCATGTGATGCCCATGAATGAGCCAATGCTATTGAGGGGAGAAACTCCTTTTCTGGAGTTACTAACCAGGTGGTTGGTTGTCTAGGTTGAAATGTAGAAGAAGCAATTTGGCTTTGAAGTAACATGGATTTTTGGCTTCCAGGAGGAGTTTTGTTACCCAGTGGAGTGTCTGGCTCTGACGGTGGAGGAAGTCATGCACATCCGTCAGGTGCTGGTGAAGGCAGAGCTGGAAAAGTACCAGCAGTATAAAGATGTGTACACTGCTCTGAAGAAAGGAAAGGTATGGCTGAGCCCAGGGAGGCCGCAAGCGGGAAGTTGGTTGCACAGACCTCTGTTTACATCTTCAAGCTGGTGGGAAGCTGGAAGCAGGCATCAGAGTTTGCAAAAATTGAGATTGTAAAATCATAGAATCATCAATTGCCCTGGGTTGAAAAGGACCACAATGATCATCTAGTTTCAACCCCCCATTTGTTTCTTACCCTGTATTGAAGAAGACAGACCACCAAACTTCCCCTTGAATTTATTACACATGGGTCAGCTTGTGTTGAATTAGATACATAAACATAAAAACTTTATACAGAAATACCTTCCTTATACCTTCTATAGAAAGGCAGCAGTGTTTGTGGTAATCAGAACATATCTGTATATTTATGTTTTAAATTTCAATAAGGTTTCTTTTCTGCCCACATCTTCTGCAGTATTACTCAGCATTTCTATCCCAAAAAATAGAATTACAGCTAGCAGTAGGTAATTACAAGAGGTTTTTTATAAGTAGCCTATTTTCCCCTATATCAACTGAATATTCCTTTCTGCACTTAATTCCCATTTCTAGAGTAGGAACATTTGTAGTCTCTGTGACCCAGTAGCAAGTTTTCTCACCTTATGAAAGCTCCTAGTGTCTGGTTAAAGTCTGGGCCATACTCTGCTTGGTTGGAGGTTTGCCTGGCCCGTGCCTGGCTTCTGTCTCCAGCTGTTAAGTGGTGCACCTGGTGTGATTTCTCCTGTTGCTTTGAGGTATTTCTTCAGGCTCCACCCTTCCTGTGCAGTGCATCTTGTGAGCAGCGTCCTGCGCTAACCAGCAGTTTGAGCTTTGCTGTGGCATTTGTAAGTTAGAAATAAAGCACGCTAGAGAACTGCAAGTACTTGAAAACCAGAACAATCCTAAACATGAAATACTGGAGGACCCATTAACTAACATTTTTTTTCCTGTGAATTGCGGATTGGGGATTGATATTTACCAGTAAAAGCAATGTCTTTTCCCTTTCTTTTGACTTGTGCTTCTCAAACGCCTCCAGTAAGCATATTTTGACTGCATAATGTATTTTAACTCCAGGCTGTGATTAATATGCTGATGTAAAGATTTGATTGATTTAAGGCAGAAGAACCAAAATCTGAAGACTTCAATTAGCTGTGGATTCAGCTGTTGCATATTGTCATGCAACATAAAGCGTAGTAATGAGCTTTTATCAGATCTCATAGTGAGTTGGTGCTTTAATTTACCCCACTATTAAAATTGTTCCTTTTTATTTTTAATCAGATTTGTGTAGCCTCACATCCCTGTCTTTGGATCCCATTGTGTCATCTGTATGACAAAAAAAGCTTTTCCTTGTTCAATGCCCCTTCTTCATATAAACGTTCATAACCTATGATGCCTGGCTCCTTTCAATGAACCAAACAGGTTTTCCTCAAGTAAGGCAGCTGTAGTAGCTCATTCCTGGACCTTCTCTGGTGTTCAGGAACATAGGATTGGAAGAGAATCATCAAATCTTATCACAGGCAACCACTTAATATTCCAGAACCCAGCACAGATGATTAGGAACAAGAGCATTTAAAAGTCAAAAGAATATTTTAAAAGAATATTTCTTAATATATGAAGATACAGTTCTTTTCTATATCCTCTTGGAAGCATGAACTTGTGCAGAACTTGTCTAACATGGGAACTTCTCTGTTCTTCTTTCAGCTCTGCTTTTGCTGTCGGACAAGAAGGTTTTCTTTCTTTACCTGGTCTTACACCTGTCAGTTCTGTAAAAGGTAAATACTTAGCATCTGTTAATAAATAAGTACTATTACAGTATGAAAAACTTGGAGTTGTACCTTAGATCACCCCAAATGCTGCATAGTGTTGATTGTTTTCATTTAACAGTCCAGGTTTAAAAACAAATATTGTAAGTATGCTAAAATGGATCTTTTGTAAGTGATGTGCTCCCTTGGACTGAAAGACTCTTTATCAGGGTCTGCTGTGATAGGGGAATGGTTTCAAACTTAAAGAAGGGAGATTTAGGTTGGATATAAGGAAAGATTTACAATGAAGGTGATCATAAGACCAACATGTAGACACTCAAGGCTGGGCTGGATGGGGCTCTGAGCAACCTGATGTAGCTGCAGGTGTCACGTTTCACTGCAGGGCAGTTGGACTAGTTGGCCTTTAAGGGTCCCTTCCAATTCTGAGGATTCTCTGATTTTTGATCAAAAGTAAAAGAAACATTAATTTCCCCTTTTTTCCCCCTTTTTTCTTTTTGTAGCTGTAGTTCTTGTTTAGTATTCCTCTTCACTTTTGGCTTCATGTTCTGATTAAGTTTTTGTATTGATGAAACATTAAAACAAAAGTGTTTGGGTAAGGAGTTGGGGTATTTATCCCTTATTCTTGATGTCATTAAGGCATAGCCCAGTTAAATGACTCAGGCTTTCATTTTCTTACACAGGCCTGTATGCTCACAGTGCTGCAAAAAGGTAAGTAAACACATTTCTGATTCACTCCTTTCTGAAAAGCTGTCATCTTTGGAAATGATACTGCATCTTTCTTATATCACGTGTTCCTTCTGTGCTCAACAGATGCGATTGCCATCAAAGCCATATTCCACTCTCCCCATCTTCTCACTGGGACCTTCCACCTTGCAGCGAGGAGAGAGCTTCATGAGGCCAGAGAAGCCCTCCACCAGCCACCACCGGTCACTGCGGAGCATGCCCAGGTGAGAAGCAACTGCGGTCACCTGTGTGCACTGGAAATGCCTCTTGGAGTTACAAACTCCAGTGCCAGGACGGGAGCAAACTGGAACATAGGAGGTTCCCTCTGAACACCAGGAGCACTTCTGTGCTGTGCAGGTGACGGAGCACTGGTACAGGCTACCCAGAGGCTGAGGAGTCTTCTCCTTGGAGGTCTCCAGAAGCTGCCTGGCCGTGGTCCTGGGCACACTACCCAACTTCACACAAACTTCCAGCTGGTGACTCGGCAGTCTTGCTGAGCCAGGTGTCATTTTTGGGATAGGAGGAAACAGAAAGGTTTTGAATCCAGTTGTTTTTTGCTGTTTTCTGAAGGCGCCCCAGGGTGCTCTCTGCAATGCTGCTGCATACTGAGACCAGTCCTGCTGTTTTGCTTTTCAGGTTGGCCTCAAGGTCCAAATCTGTGGATAAGTCACACGAAGAGCTGCAGTTTCCCAAAGAATTAATGGAGGACTGGAGCACGATGGAGGTGTGTGTGGACTGCAAGAAGTTCATTTCAGAAATCATCAATTCGAGCCGGCGCAGCCTGTCCCTGGCCAACAAGCGAGCCAGGTTAAAAAGGAAGACACAGTCCTTCTATATGTCATCTCCAGGAACCTCTGACTACCGCCCCTCTGAGAGAACTATCAATGAGATCTGAGCCTTGTGCCTTTTTCTTTGCTTTTGTCTTCATGAGGTCATCGTCTGTAGGAGAGGTCACCAAAACAGGGTTATTCTTCCGTTGCTTCATTTCACTCGACTGGCTTGGATCTGCATTCAGTCACAGAGTTTCTTACCGCCATGTTTTCCAGAGATGCAGAAGCTGTGTTTTTATCAGGACAGAATGACATGCAGCAGGTCAGCTGCTCGCACTGGGAGAAAATCAACAATTTGCAATCGTTGCCTCTTTTGTATGCGTGCATTGAAACTAGAAAGCTTTTTCTTGCTTTCAGTCTTTTTTTTTTAACCATTCTTTGAATCATTTTCTGGAGTTGAGCTAAAATGTGTGCTTAACGGAGAACCCGATCTAACAAAGTCAGTGCCAGTGCAGTAGCAAGCAGTAAGTCATATTGGCATTACCAAGCTAGCAATGTTCACATCCTGCTTTCAGAGCTCACCAGGCACTGGTGTGAGTGGCTGTGCTCCGAGCAGTCCTTCTTTGAACCATTTCTGTTGCTCCGAGGTCAGAGTCCAACATGGGACTGCGGTGTCTGGGCCCTGGGGCAGAAGGTGTGACAGAGCTGCTCATCGTGGGGCTGCTGCTCTTTGAGGCCTCAGTGCTGCCCTGGGTGTCTCTGGGCAGGCTCCAGGGGTGTACTGCCTACTTGAATGTATGGTACTGGTGGTAGTGAATTCTGGTGGTAGGCAGAGCTGTACAGCAGATGGGAAGGATGGGAAGCAAGAGAGGCTCCTGGTGCTACTGGAGCACCTGTAGCATTGTTCCTTGGGTCGCTCAGGGGACAGGAGGGTACATGTGTGCATCTTAGCAGGCACAAATTCCACTATGGCTCTGCTGGCAGTGTGCCCACTGAGAGCCCCATTTTTGCTGGGGACGTAAGTTGGTTGCAGGGACCCATGTTTTGCTGAGATTTTGGGCGACGCTGTCCCAGATTGGGAGCAATCTCTCATTTCCCCTCCTTGATTCATTCTTTTTCCTTCTTTGCTTTGCCCATGGTAGAACACCAGGCCACTGGGTGAGATGTTCCAACAAGGCTACACTGTTAGCTGACACCATCGCATGCTTTTTTGCACTTTTTCTTTTTTTTTTTTTTTTTAAGTTGAAATACTTTTTTTTAATGCAGGCTTGACCAGAGTTTAATCTGTAATTTGCGTCTGGATCATTCTGGTGTTTAAAACTAACATAGTCAAGTTGTTAATACTTGAAAATCAACTACTGTAACTTTTTCATACATTTTTTAATACCCTGAGGCATATTTAATATCTCTATAGCAGTGTATTATAGGAGGACATAGCAGAAAAGTTTCAGATCTATTTATTAACATTTCTACACTAAGGATTAATCATGAGTGATACCTCAGAGCTGCACGGAGCAGCGGGGCTGGATCTGCCCTGTGGATTCCAGCAATGTGTCCGTCCCACACGGACCTCATGCTGGCAGAGCCTGGGGAGGGCCTGCACCACCATCTGTACCATATGTACGTTGATTTGAAAAGCACACAAAAAGGCTCCCTACGCCTCTGCACAGACTCACCCACCCGTATTTTTCTTTCATTGTCACCCTGGGAAATGAGAGTTTTGCAGATGGAGAGCAGTGGCATGAGGTGAGCCATGGGCAGGCAGGCAGGAGGCCAGGGCTGCCTAAAGCCACTGCTGCTAGGAGGGCCCCTCATCTCAGTCACATCTGCACTTTTTCTCATTCCTGTGCCAAAAGCAGGCCCCGTATTCGCTGCATTGTGCATCAGGAAAACTAGGCTGAGAGTGAACGCATGAACTCTCGCTCTGAATTTCCCCTGCTGCTATTCTGATCATTTTCTCCTGGAAATGCCCTGGCCACACGCTCTGCTTGCTCCAACTCCACTCCCCCTTGGCACCGCAGGCTGCTCAGGGCTGGGTGCCCCGCATGCCCTTTTCCCCTCTTACAGGGCGTGGGGCAGCAGAGCTGGCAGCCGCCAGGCCTCAGCCCCCCCCCCAGCACCGGCCCTGGGCACCGCACAGCTTCTGTGGGCCCAGCACCATGTTGGTATTGGGGTGAAGCTTGTAAATATGTGTAATATATTTATTGATATTTAGGAAGTCTCCATCAGTCATGCAACGGGAATTAACTTTCCACAAAGTTTAAAAACAAAAACTATTTATACACGTGTTGGCTGTTACCTTCGTTAGAGTTAATGCTTTCAGCCCCTCCGACAGTCTGCGCTCTGTAGGCATTTTAGAGTGAATTACTGCTGAGTGTGGGGCAGCACGGTCAGCTCCTCCCAGCAGCTTTTAAAATCTTATTTTTGTAGCTTTGTTACGATGCCCGAGGTCTGAACGTACCATGGGGGCCCACGGAGCTGAATGGCACACAGCTGTGCAGCACTGGGGCTGGTGCTGCCGCTGCTGCGATGGCGAGCGGGGCTTGGCTGCGGTGCTCCCATGCACTACGCCTGACCTTGCAAATGCTCTTGTGACCATGTCATTTCTGGGGACGGTTGGTGGGCTTATTTCTCTTTTCCCTGTTATTTCCTTTATAGTGGGAGGGGTGGTACTGGGTGAAAATAAAATGCCTTTCCATTACAGTCTTTGTCTGTGCTAATTCTTCATGAGGGAGCAAACGTCAAAGTTTCTGTCTTCTTTGCTGTACTTCACAGTTTTGTGAAGAACAGGTAGCCTTTTCCTCAGGCAAGGGCTTGTTGATGAAAACAGCTGAACACCATTGGAACAGTGGCTGGGAACTAGGGGAAAACACTTGATGGCCCATGAGAACAGCACTGACTGCCCATGCAGCCCGGCAACAGGGCAAGTCACAGCCAGTCACTGCACACGACACCTCCCTGTGTTACTGCTCACTGAGGCAGCCAGCAGATGCAATCAAAGTGCAGACAGAGGGCAACCACACACCGCTGAGCAGTGAGACAGTGCGCCCTCTGAGCTCTAGGAAGCCACAGCCTTGTCCAAGCGTTCCTGAGCACAGAATAACTGATGGTATTTCTGAAGACAGCTCTGAACACTGACAGCCTGTTTTGTATTGCAGGAGTACACCCAGAAGGTGTAACCGAGGCTGTCATTTTAGATAGATAGAGAGTACCATGGCATACAGAGACACGTTGCAGACTCCTGGCCGTCATAGCTCACTATCTAAGGAGATATAAAATGGTAACGGTGCCACCGACTGCTCCACTTGGGGATATCAGTCACAGGTGTACAAGGACAAGATATGAAATCCCAAAAGATTTTTGCCCCAAAAGGTAAATTCCATCAGTGATGGAACAGGAGTGTGAAGCAGCGTGCTTTAGAACCAGCTCTGTAGAGTTGGGCTGAACCCAGAGTTACCAACCCACTAGAGCCCAGGGACAGGACTTACATGGTCAGGGCAGAAGTGGAAGCTCTGTATGCAAATCTCAATGAGCCAGAAAGCAGAAGAGTAAAACTCTCCACAGAAGCTTACAGAAAATTAAGAATCACTTCATCTGCTACACACAAATCCCACCTGTACACACTGCCAGCACCAGCAGTCACAAGGAGAACAAGCCCAGGGCTGCAGGAGCATCACACACCCCAAAGATGATGTGAGAAACAGCAGTGCCCTCCCGGCTGCGGAAAGGCTGCCAGGAGCTAGAATTGACCTCTGGGAGAAAGCAGTCTCCTTCCTCCCCAAAGGGGCTGCCCTCTTCCTTTCAGCTCAGAGCCCAAGACAAGGTGCTGACCCGTGCCAAGGGGGGGGCAGCAGAGAAGGAAACACCAAGCACTTCGCTGTCTAGATCCTGTAGCATGACGTGGAGAGAAATCAGCCCCAAACCTACAGCAGGGAAAGGAAACAGAAAGGATATGCTGCTACACAAGAGAGTAAAGATTTGCTCTGGAAGAAGGAAGCAAAGCGTGAGGAAAGAAATTGATCAAACTGATGCACAGCTGGTACTGATCCAAAAAGCACAGCAGCCAAGTTTGGCTCTGGGGACAACAAAGGTGTTTGCAATGACTCCTCTGAGATGGCAGATAGTGCTGGGAGGTGCCATACGCAAAGCATTTATATTTAAAACAACACTGAGCACGTCTGGTGTAAGAAGCAGCTTTAGATAATTCTTCTTCTGAACTAAATCAATACATGAACCTCAAAAAAAACTTTTCTGTTGCCTCACAGTTGAGGCTTCATCATCTCCCATAATCACTATGGGAATGCTGCAGATCAGGTTTACACACACACACACACAGTCATTTCCTGTTCTGCTCAGAACTCTGCCATCACTGCTCTGCCCTTCCTACCAGAGGTCAGTGGGTGCTGGGACAGCTCCTGCAGTCCTTACACAGGAAGCAGCACCACTCCCCTGAGATGTGCCACAGCAACAAGGAGTACCAAAGCCATCCACAGTGCATCACAGGAAGGAGCTGCTACCAGGTCAGGGTCTAACATCCTGTGCCCAGGTGAGAAAAACCTGAGGTCCACAGAAGAAGAGCAATGCAAATATTAGCTACTCAAATAATTGCTAATAATGTAAATTAAGTTTCTTTATTAGAACTATGTCATTTACCTAGACTATACCTACATCCGAATTAATGTTCACTTTCAAGCTAAACAGAATACAAACTCTGAGATTTCCCTTAAGTACACAGATGTTTTGAATTACCAGATCCAAACAGTGACCAACATTTCTTCTTTTTTTTTTTTTTTTTTTTTTTTTTTTTTTAAAGAAGCTCCTCATGCTCTCACAGCTCCCTGAACACATGCTTGTCACCTGAGCAAGCAAACAACTTCACAACATTTATCTATCTCAGTCTGTGTGTGCACAAAAAAAAACACAATGTAAAATGCCCCAACAGAGGGCTATCTAAGAAACACCAGCTACTCCCAGACCAAGTACAAAAGTCTTGTGAACCTCAGACAAAAGCTGGAACTGTTACCAGTAAGTATCTCTGCATATTTTCAAAGAGGCAATCTCCACAATTAGAATCAGAATTAGACAATCAGAATTAGAATCAGACAATTAGAAGCATTGAAAACATTTCTAAAAACATTTGTACCAACGTGGCAAAGTGTTGAAAAAATGCATTACAGCAGAAGTCAGTCGTTTGTAGAAAGCGTTCGAAAAGGAGAGCCCAGTTCTTCTTGTGCTCTGTTCTTCCCCTCTGGAGCACAAAAAACACACAGTGATGAAGCACTGCCGCTTGGACTTCGAAGTTCTCATTTGAGCTCTTCATTTCTTGCAGCCAGCTCTCCCTCAGCTCAGAGATTGCAGGAAGAACAAGAAGCAGAGAACAGCAGAGCCTCTTTGTTCCAGCAGCCTGCAAGCACCCTCTTGCAGATAAATAACCCACGTGTTCCCCAGCTCCTCCCGCTCCTGTTCTGCTACTGAGGGGAGGAACTTGGGAAAGTTAATAAATATGAAAATAAATTACACCCTTCTCCCCACAAAGTAAGAAAAAAGAAAAAGCCTGTTTAGGCAGATAACACCAATAGAAACTCTCTTTGGATATAAACACCTAAGAAGTAAAGCATCTGTGTGTCACGTTCAGATAGCACATTAAGCAACATAACAAGAGTCAGCGCAACACAAGTTTCAGCTGTTGGGGATGATTCTCTAGATAGGCATCTTTAATTCTAGAGTATCGTGCTCTGTTTCACGTAGTTCCCTTTAAATGGTTTTAAGAGTACAAAATGGACAAAATTTAGTGCTCTCAGCTCTTCACAGAACTAATGCTCATTTGGAGAACATGAGTTCTTTCCAAGTTTGAGTATGAAAAAGATGGTATAAAATATAACACACTCTCAATCTTTGTTACAAAAGGCACATTTAGGCAGATTTAAATGTGCTGAACGTTTTGTTATCAATGTTGAAAAGAAATCGTTTAAGTGAAAAGAGCATCTGCAGGAGGTCAGTGTAATCTGCAGTAGGTGAAGGGAGATGAAAGATGAGGTTACCTTCCTGCTGATCCAATATTCTTATAAATATATAAAACATACGCAGATGAGCCTTGGAAGGGCCATCGAGACAGCAGTCTGCAGAATGAAATGTTTCAATCAGTTACTCGCTGTGTTTTTGGCTACTATTTCTCTGTGGATGCTGCTGCCATGGCTGGTTTTATGCCCTCACGCGTTGACTTCAGCTCTTCCAGTTCTGCGTTCAGTTTGCTGATCACCCACTCCAGGGCATCCCGGCCCTGCCAAGGAAATAGCAGAGTTCAGGATCAGAGCAAATAGCGCACGACTGCTCATGTTTATAGTTTTTCCTCTGTCAGACATAAGACTAGTTTTAAAATTCCCCATCCTCCATGGTTTGAAACAGGATTGTATTGATTATTTCTCATCTTACTGAAACTTTGCTACAAAGGCATTTGAGTAATCCATATGCAGGAGGTAAATGCAATACTGGTGTGAGCTCACAGCAGTGCTCCCATGCAAAAAGCCTCACTCAGCAGTTCAGTTCCTGGAAGAAAGAGAACTGCTATTTCTACTGTCTGCTGCTCCCACCACCTTAAGAGGACCAGTACATTTGTGGAAGAGTCTGCATATTGTTCTCATACTCATTAATAGAGCTGCATATGGACAGTTGTTGAGAAAATCCAGGACAAAGAAAGATAGCCTTCAAGTGCTCATTGAAATAGCAACAAACTGATTTGAACTCGAGCTAGAGTTTGAAGAGATGGCCTTGCACTGAGCTCCACTAAGCAGCATAAAGCAAGATGATGCAGAGACCACAGCTGCATCTTTCCTATCAAGGGACATTCAGCTCTCAGAATGGGTAGGGCACACCTCAAAGCCTGGCACTGATAGCCCACGTTTCAGTAAAAGCAGTAGAATTCAGCAGAATAAGCACATCAAAAGTCTTTTGCCTTCAGAAGACCCTCTAGCAGCTGCACCTCAAGATGAGCATGCAGCCACACAATTAAGAAAGTAGGGAACCACCTCAACCAGCTGAGCACTGAGCTTATGTGGCAGGGTTTTGGTATCAGGGAGCTGCAGGGATGGCCTCTGTGCAGAGCCCAGCAGCTGCCTTCTGTCAGAGTAGTGCCAGCTCCAGCTGTCCCTAAGGGGACCTGCTGTTGGCCAGAGCTGAGACATGAGCAACACTGGCTTGGTTTTAGTTTCTCACTCTTCTCATCTATTAGTAATAGGCAATAAATTACATTAATCTCCATACATTGAATCTGTTTTGCCTTCAACAGTAATTGGTGAGCAATGTCCCTGTCCTTATCTCAGCCCTTGAGCCTTTTTCACCATATTTTCTGCCTTTCTTCCTTTGAGGAGTGATAGAATATTATGCTGGAGTTCAGCTGCACATCTTGGTGAAACCACCACGCTAAGTCCAAGTGGAAGACCTTGGAGTTCCACAGTCTCCAGATGACAGCTTTCGCCAAAACAAGCAGATGGGATCAGCCCTAGTAAACATGAAGGCTTTTTTTTTTTTTTTTTTTTCCTAAAGAGAAGCCAAGATACCTTTATCATTCATACCTTACTAAGAGTAGGGAGTAGAAAGCATGGCAAGTAGCTGGCACCCTCTCAAGTCTAATCTGAAGCAAAGGCTCTGAGCCCAAAGAGTCTTCAAGAGTGCAGGTGCTCTAGGCTCCTGCTGGAACTGAGGAA